CATCGCTGTGATAAACGAGAAATTAAAACAAATTAAAATAAACACTCGTGTGAGAGACAAACAAACGCATTAAAAAACATTTCGCTTGAGAATGGTTTAAAGGACACGCCGAACGCCGCACGCAACGACTGAAAATTATTGTGATAACTGATCATTAGTGTGAACTGTGTGACAAACTCGCCAGCAAGCTCTACAAATAATTACAAGAAATTATTTGTGTGCGTAGTTCAATTCAACATTTGGGGAAATATCAACGGCGGCAAGAAAGCCAAAGACGATGGAATGATGTCGAGATTCTATCTCAATTCGAATGCGTCTCTTGCTAATTATCAACAATATGAAGTAAGTTTTTGTTTTCCCAAAGCACTTATTTAATTTATAATACAAAAATACATCAACAGGTGTTTGGAAGTTAAGTTTTATTAAGTTTGTGTTTGTGTTGGTGTGTGTGTTGTTGAGACAGGTAGAACAGTTTTAAAAATTCCATTATAATAACTCCGAAAGGAAGCGATTTAAATAAGAGCGAACATTCGTTTTACAACCCGTCAAAGTGCGGGGCCCTGAGAGTTGAAAATACCACACAATAATTGCTTTTTACTGTGCGCGCGTTCCAGAGAGCGCCCCGACATTTTTCGAGCATTTAAAATTGATAAATTGCATCGCAACGAAATTAACATTCCACCCGACGGGGCGAGCAAAAAACTTAATTACGATCAATTTGATCATTACCTCCATATTAAATTCCGTAGTCAATAATTTATTCTGAAGTGATAACAGTGAATATTGATTGAATAAAATCTAAACATAGATATGTAGTTATTTATGTGTCGAAATATGCATTAGATATTTTACGAGTTTAGTTTTAGTTTTAGTTTAGTTGTTTGAAATGTTTGATTTTTATTGCCTGACGCCTTCGTGAAACCAAAATGTAGTCCGAAATTGTTTTTATTATGCGGTCGTTTGGATTTTATGTGTATGTAACCTTTAAATCGAGGAAGAGAAATTAAATATGCGCCATATTAATACATCTATACAATCTATAGTATTTATGATTAATGTGAATCTATTAGTGTGATGCTGACGCTATAAAGAAGATGCTGCGTTGATATTTAAGTAACATCTTTATACAGTTTAATGTTTGTAGAGTAGGTAGGTGTTTGTGTTTTTAAATAAGTGCATAAATTATTCTCATCGTTAGAGTTGGTATTTTATTGGCACTTAATGAAATTGTTATAGGAGAGAAGTGATCGATTGCAATGTGAGTTATTAATCTTGGAATCATTTATGACGGGCTGATATTGCTAATGTTGCAATTTATTGGTGTTGTCTAACTATCAGAATCAATAATATCTAGGATGAAGATATATTTATAGAGATAAGTTGTTATATACCTACCTAAGTAGGTGGAATATGAAAATATTAAGTATTTAAATTGAGTTTTAGTAAAAGGTTATTTGCTTAATTTTTATTTTAGTTATTATTCACTTCTGCTTTGATTTATTTGCTCAAAAATCAAATTAATTTATTGAATAATAACTATTTGGTGTTACAACCCTTTTTCTTGACAGTTTTGATTACTAACACCAATATAAAGGTTCGAAAACTAAATTTTATGTAACGTATTCGGTAATAACGATCAAAATTGTAATGAAATCAATTTTCCAGTATTTGTAAGGCTATCAATAGATGATATTATTAAATATTATAAAAAAGAAGTGCCAGTAGCATATCCGGGCTTAAAATAAACAAATTGATTGTTTTTTTGTGTCTTTTTGAATTCATTTTAACAGATGAATTTAAAAAGTTACAAAAATATTATAACCCGAGGGAATTCATTCATATAAGCTCAAAAAATTCGAAATTGAATGTGAATTAGCAAAAAGTATTAATATTTATGAAATTCTACACGATTGTTTACATTTATAATATAAAAATGAATCGTAAAATCTGTTGGTAAGTGCATAACTCAACAACATTTTGATCAATTTGGCCAATTCTTTATTTGAAATGTTCGTTAAAGTCCAAGGATGGTTTTTACCCCGAGGAAAAATCGAATAATTGCCGGAAAAGCCCTAAAGACAACCCTTTTCTATAGGATAAAAGTTGGCATTGAGATGCAATCATAGTTATAGTTAAATAGTTGAATCCGAGATGGAGTGCTGAAGTGCATTATTAGCAATACTTTGTCTAATTTATTTCTTTTAAATAAAGTTGCGAATCTTATTGATAGAATTGTCCCATACTATGTCTAGAACAAGAGAGTAAAAACAAATTACATTTTTATTAAACACTACCGGGACGAAGTCGCGAGCAAGAGCTAGTATTCACATAAAACACAATTTTCTCACAGATATTGTGTGGATTTTCGGCTATTTTTTATTAAACACTATCGGGAGCTTGTTTCAAATAGTTTGAGCTCAAAACAAATTAAATCATTTATATTTTGACTCCACAGTGATTCATAATCATAATATAAAAAATACAAAGCTATCTGAAATCAAATTAATTATTATTTCAAAACTTTCAAGAATAATAACTAGTTCCATGAAAAAGACATCAAAAATGGATAAATCATAATATTATGAAATGAAAGGAAGTAAAACATCTGCAATGAAGATATGCAGCAACAACTTTCAATCTCACCGGATTACCCACCGCCTAAATTGAAGGTTTGCGTAACAAGTGCCTTGAATACTTAGTAACAAATCACGTCCGAATATCAATGAAACCCACAGCCACAAATTGTATCAACAACAAATTTATGACTCGTCATTACCCACTATTACTTTCCTCCACAACTCGGCGACCACTTCATCCAGCTAATAACCTCCTTGGCTACTTCACTACTTGCTCACCGCTACCGTCTTTCCACATGCGTTCGGAGTAATTTTTGGTAGGTTAATGCCAGGGTACGGCACGGGCGCGTCTCGTACGAGGAGTTACGTACGTGTTGCGCGCTTAATTCACGGTTAGTGCGTCCAGCAGCGCGGACGTTACCTTACAGGGGGTTATTAATAAATACCAGAAGCCTCCCGTTTGCTTAGCGCACATTACATGTTACATGCTGTGGACGCAGCAGCATGCCTCTGCATCTTCTTTCATTAAGTCGTGGTCGTGCACGGTTTGAAGATGTGCTTTTGTAACTGAACGCCGGATGAGGACGGCCCGCCGAAAATTAACTAAACTGGCTCACGACGCGCGTGTGATGTGTGTGGAATGTGCGCGTATCACGTGAAAAAAACAGTAGCTAATTTTGGGTGCTTTCGAAAACGCCTCTTAATCATTTTTAAACTGTGCGTATGCAAACTGTGTATTAATATTAATCAAATTTTGATATTTTATTATCAAAATTGTTGTTTTATTATGCGTTCGTATTTATATGAAAATGTATAAATAAAATTTACATGCGCCGGTGCATGATTCAATGTTATTTTATTTAAAAGTGCTGTAATATTTATAGTTTTATTATTTTTACTGCTGATAAAATACTTAAATCTGCATTTATTCATAATTTAGATAAAATTTCGCATTAAATGAATTTATAATCATAACAGCACTATCAAATTACGATATTTACAAAATTAATTTTCATTAAAATCATGAAATGCAATACTTTTAATTAGTAATAATTACTTTTTGTTAATGCACGAGAAGAATAATAATTTTAGCGTCAGGTTTGAAAAAGTTCGGATTGTTTTTAGGTTATGTATGCAGTAAAATATAGGAAACGCATTTGAATTTCACTGCTATATAGCCGGTTGAGTTTATTTTTGCGCACCAATAAAAGAAAAACAAAGAAGATTTAAACTTACGGGTTCATATATATGTTCTGGTATAAATGTTGCTGTCAATTGTAGTTCGTTGAAAGAACAAACAAACACTTTTCACAGTTGAACATGAACTTTTTGCTGGGGATTGTCAAATTTGCACTCTGACTAGTAACCACAGCCGCCACTGGTGTCGCGTGCGTTGAATTATTAGTTCGCGGCGCTACCACTGGTGCATTAACCCGTAAACTGATCCGATTATGTGCATTCGTTTATTGTAGGCAACCAAATTGACATAAATGTTTAAAAATAGCAAACTAATAAATAAACTTTGGCCAAAATTGCTACTCATCTACAATTTACTTTTTAAGCAAACACTTTAGTATTAAACATTTAAGTAAATGCAAAATCCTTTATGCTTGGCGTAACTCTTCTTGCATTTTTATCTGTTTTAAGTATGTGTTGGCTTGCATCTTAGAGTCCTTAGTTGGAAACACCAGACATTAACTCATTTTCCAGCGAACGCGTGCCATATCATCAATAACTCCAGCTCTCTAGCTGCACGTAGAATGTAGATGCAAGTTGATATAATTGTTTCGTGGGTCGAGGCCTTTATGCACGCGCGAGCGCGAGCAGACGCATGAATCTACTTGTACTGCTTGTACACGCATGCTTATCGCATTGCGAGTTAAAACTGAAGAAGACTCGAGTTGATTCGAGAAAAGTTAAGTACGTAGCGCGTGTTGGATGCCGCGGTACGTGAGGCGCGCGTCGTCTTCGTGACGCTCGTGCCCGCAAACGCCGAAACAAAAACGACTCGAACCAAACAAGCAAAAAAAAAACGACAACAACAAACGTAAACGCACGTCGTGCGCCGCACGCTTTGCGTACAAATATGCGTTTATTATACGCTATCGCGGCGAAAATAAAAATAAAAATATATGAAAAAAAAACACGCCCGCCTGCTATATAATTAGCGAAAAATTTCCGAGGAATTTTTCGGACGAGCCAAAAATTTCCGTAACCTGTAATTTGCTCTCCGCTTAAGCGCGATCTTTTGTTACAGTAAATAATTGTAATATTTTGTTCATTTGGGTGGTGGTTTTGTTTCAGGTAAGTGAACAACAACACTAACACACGACATTCACGAGGGGGCTTGTTACTAAAGCGTCGAAAATCGTTCGATTGTCGCTTGCGAATCAAAACGCTTTGAGAAAAATTGCGATGTCTTACCGAGGAGTGACCGCGTTGCAATCCAGCGTGCCGGACTACAATAACTCTTGGGTGAGTCCTCCAACTTCACTACACATCTCACAATTTGTTCATAACGCGAAAACACGGCGAACTAAAATGTGCAACTGTCGCTGCGTAGACACAACCGATAATAAAGATAAGGTGCAAACTTTTGAGCATCGCTCTGCCCTCTAGGGGCTTTTAACTAAACTATTTCAAATAAAGTTTACAAAAATGTATATAAACAACGCAAAGTTTCAGTATTTATTAAATTTAATTATTTATTCAATTTTAGATATGTTTATTTAATATAATTACATTGTTTTAAAAGAAGAAAATATTAAAATTATTTTAAAATTTGGTTTATGTATCCGTAGTGTCCTCTCACGGTGATTATAAGAAGCTTTACATGCTTACAAGGTTTACCTCTCGGCTTTATTGTCGACCGCAGCTTTATCTTTTACTACTACAATATCCAAACAAAGAGGTCGCTACCACACATATTACAATAAAAATTATTTATTTATATTGTAATTTACCAAACAATACTTTTTAATTAACTCCATTTAACTAATACAAAAATAATAAACTTGAATTTTCAAGTGTTTCGTTATTATATTCTTTGCTTTGTTTAAAAAACTTGAAGTATTTTATTTAATAGAATTGTTTAATTAATTATTGCCAGCTGAGATATTACTGTTAAATCGACGTGAAACATTAATTACACAAAATGACTCACCACAACAAACACCGCAAAACATTCGAAGATCTATTGATAAATTCAGCATTGTGTTATTGTAAAAAAGAAAAATGGCTACCTAATTATGTGACCTTTAAACTTTTCAAACAAAAAAATGATCGAATGTTTAAAGTGCTAACGCGGCAAAAGACACACCCACCGCGGCAAAACGATGAGTTGTGTTTTTAATTTTAAACCAAGAGTCATTAATATTATTAACGCAGCGCTAACAATGTTAGAGCGTTTAATTTATTGTGGATAACTATGGCGGCCATGTTGGTTAATTACACACTGTCATGTCTCATTCTCATGTAGAAAGCGAAAAAAATTTCAAGAAAAACATTACGTCACGTTGTAGTCTATACAAAGAAAATATTTCTATAGAAAATATTGATTCGAGACTAAAAATTTACTGATAGCAAGGTTTTTTAGTGAAATAGAGCGAATTTTTCACATTTTATCATTGCATGCGAACATTTTTGACCAGAAGAAGTCGACAAGAAAGTGTTGAAGGAAGGTCGAAGTGGCGGCTGCTATAGAACGGAAATTCTATCATTTTGAGCTTTTTACGTGAAAGTGTCAAGTTTTCAGGTTGTAAGGGGGCGGTTTTTGTAAGGACGCAGGAGTTCCAAGCGAGTACTGGGCGAGATAAGTCGGTAATGTTCGGTCGTTTACTATTGAATGGCTTTATCATCGTTCAAGTTCCTGTAGGTTACAGTGGAGGGTTACTTTCGTGTCTCAACATCCCAAAAGTGAATATTTAACGTGGAAAACGTATTTTGGACAAAACTTGTTTTAATATTGATAATGGTTTATGTAAAAATGGATTATTAATAAAATAATTCATTTAATTGCATAAATTTGCTTAGTTTTTTATAAAAAACAAAGTTTTTCTATTTTTATGCATTTGTCTAATTGTCCGCTAGATGGCGGAAGAGTATATATTTGACAGTTTATATTTCTAACCTCAAAATGACCCAAAAATTCCTTATTTTTTCAAAATCTACAATTTTATAATTAAATTAATATAAATTAGCACTGCACCTCTTCTTTTTCACACATTTATACCTGTCCAAAACGTTTTTTTACATTGGCTTATTAATTTGTTTTTTCGTTTAACAAAATTTCTGAAATTCTCTAACGATGTAGATGCCAAACGCGATAATGCAAATACTTGTACTTGCCTAAACTTTAATGTGTGATTTATTTTGGGAGTTTTTTGTGTATTCGTGACGATGAAAGCAGACAGAAATACAGACTGGTAGTGATAGATTTACGTGAATCTTGATATTATCCGACGGATAGTTTCCTGCGTCGTGTTCGTCGGTAGCACGAAAGTCGAGTCTGATCAGGTCGTCGTTTACATTGCTACACGCGCACGCCGCACGTCAATTACGCACATTCGAGTATTTCCAAACAAATTCTCCGAAAACGTCGTAAAATCGTCAAAATTTCCTGCTGCCGAATGTCGTATGACAATAAAATCAAGCATTCAACTGTATACTTCATGATTACTTTTTATATGAGTTAAAAGTCATTAAAAGCAAAAAGTTAAATTTAAAACCTTTGAATGATTTTGTTTTAGATTTTGGTTTTAATCAGACTAAAATGCAAATTTTTGTTATTTAGGGGTTTTATTTGAAGAAACAGAAATAATAAAATGAAAATATAATAAAACTAGCTTATACCCGCGACTATGTCCCGGTAGTGTTTAATAAAAATGTAATTCATTTTTACCCTCTTGTTCTAGACATAGTATGTGTCAATTAGGTACCTATATCAATAAGATTTGCAATTTTATTTTAATGAAATTAATTATATAAAGAATTGCTAATAATGCACTTCAACGCGCCATCTCGGATTCAACTATTTAACTATAACTATGATTGAATCTCAATGCCAACTTTTTATCCTATAAAAAGGGCTGTTTTTAGGGTTTTTCCAGCAATTATTTGATTTTTTCTCATCGTAAAAACCATCCTTGGACTTTAATGAACATTTTAAAAAAAGAATAGGCCAAATTGATCCAGGCGTTGTTGAGTTATGCGCTTACCAACAGATTTTGCAATTCATTTTTATATTATAGATATAAAAGAATATTTTTCACGATTTGTTAATACATATATAGTATATAGTCAATATAGTATATAGTATATAGTATATAGTAAATTATCAAATTGTAAATTAAACCACCATAGTTTATAAGTACTTTTACTCGTATTAAGTTAATTTAATCAAAAATTCGCGGTTATTAACTTAGCTATGTTTAAGTAGGTAGTTAATTTTATTGCTTTCACTGAATTTTACTGATAACAACAAAAATACTCTACGCATTATTCATATCTTTGCAGTTATAAATAAATTAAACATTATTTCGATTGCAATAAAATCGAAATTACATTTCCTTGATTTTTTTTTAACTCAGTATCCTCTGATTTAAATCATTTAAACGTAAACAAATGCCTTTTAATAATTCCGAGTATTTAAATGTATTTAAATTGATTTAATTAGCACGTAATTAATTTTTTATATTTCCTCTTCTGACATCGCGCACACTAAAATAAAAGCCCATTAATAAATCAATTAACAATACCTAATACAATAATAAAACTACAGTTATGCAATCAAATTGATTTGATTGGTTCGTCGGGCGGTCGACAGTTGAAATATGTAAGTAAATCAGAGTATAAATCCGAGTGAATCAACGAAGTTGTTTGCCGGGGCGTCGACGCGTGAAAACTTATTAGAAACCGGGTGGCGACCGGGCCCGGAAAGGTGTGCGAGGTGTGCTGTGCGATAATTACACATTGCAGCACGTGTGAAACGCACGGAAATGTTTTATTAGCCGGGCAATGCGTTCGGCACGCTGGGGTGACTTTATTTACGGGTGAAGTAGTACGATTGAGTGCTGGATTTGTAAATGCCCGCCGCGATGGGCGGGCGATGACACCCGCAGGGCAAACAGGACTCCTGGGGGAGGCTTTTGTGAAAAATGTGAACTGTAGAGAAAATCAAAATCAGCCAATTAGTGTTAACCCCCATTGAGTTAAAGACAAATTTTTATACATGAATAAAATACGTTTTATCGGGGTGAATATTTTTTTATTATAAAAGTAGAAAAAATAGTTTTAGGGTTATGAGAAGTTAATTTTTTGTTTTTTAATTTTTTGCTAATCTATAATATAAAAATGAATCGCAAAATCTGGTGGTAAGCGCATAACTCAACAATGTTTAGACAAATTTGGCCTATTCTTTTTTTAGAATGTTTGTTAAAGTCCAAGAATTGTTTTTAAGGCGGGAAAAATTTGAATAATTGCCGGGGAAACCCTAGACAGCCCTTTTCTATAGGATAAAAGTTAGCATTGAGATTCAATCATAGTTATAGTTAAATAGTTGAATCCGAGATGGCGCGTTGAAGTGCATTATTAGCAATTCTTTATAGAATTAATTTCTTTAAAATAAAATTGAGAATCTTATTGATAGAATTGACACATACTATGTCTAGAACAAGAGAGTAAAAACGAATTACATTTTTATTAAACACTACCGGGACGAAGTCGCGGCAGAAACTTCTAAACTTGGTTTTTTGGATTAATTGAGGTTAATATATTGTAATTTTCATTTTTATTGTATTTTTGTAGTCAAATACAATTTATAACAACCTCATTTTTCAACTGTTGATTCAATAAAAATTACATTTTTACATACTGCCAGCTATCGACAAGAAGAGTAAACAAAAAACATTATTTTATTATTTTTTTGTTATAACTATCATTTTACTTGTTTTTGTATAGAAAAATAACTTATAACCTCACTTTCAATTGATAATTCTTCAAATATGACATTTAACTTATTGCCATCTAGCGGATAAAAGTGTAAACTAAATTAAAGTGTAGATAAAGTGTAAAATGTGCTGAATAACTGCAATCATACATGTTCCATTTTCTAAGTAATCCAAGCACGCACTAAACAAGTAATCGATTAAAATGTTTGTTAAAGTAACATTAAAAAAACACAAGCGAACAATTTATTCGACTTCTTATCGTACATCATCTTCAATTCCCCGGCAATCATTCGCTTGTTTTGTTTCAACGTGTAATTTTAACTCAACTTCAAATGTAGTACGAGATGTTCAATGTACTGCGGCAATGAGTCGACAAGAATTTTCATAAACATGCTTAATGTTTTCACATTGAACACTGACTTATTTCTGTTTATTTAAAAAGTGTTCAGAAATTAAAATTTATCTCTTCTGCATGTAGATTTCTCGCAGGAGGCGCACGAGTCAATTAACTTGTTGTGTCATACTTTCGAACGACACAATCTCGCATCTTCAATGTGAATTAATTGTTGTTGAGTGTCACAGTCGTGAAATAAAAAAGTCTGCAGCTCTTTGTCAG